CGGAACTTCAGTGATTATTTACATCAATACATTGATGATCAAATATTTAAATAAATAGTTGAGAAAATTAGTCAGAATTATATGAAACAAAACGATAGCCCTCTGAAACGGAATTTAGAATAATTAAAGGTATATTTACTTTCCCGTATACATACGTATATAGGGAGTAATATATGTAGTAGAGGGAAAGTTATGAAACGCTGTGGAAAAACGAATTCCAGATTTCAACGGAAATACCCGTTTGTGGTCCCCTGGTGCCAAAAAACTGGTTTTCTTCGAAAGTCCTCTGTCGAGTTCGTCCATCTTTCTGTCCGGCCGGTCTGAACAAACCTACACCATACGAAATTTTTTTTTCAAATTGCAGAAATCCCTGGCCATTTGGCCTGAGTCAAAACTCTGCGATTTTGAAAATCATTCATTAGTTTTTTAAAGTACTTTACTTGAAGCCCCATGAAACCCGAAATATTTTCTAAATTTTCTCAAAATTGACTCCAAATATTTTATTTAAGTCTGAATGATATATTGAATTTTTGTCAAGGCAAGTTGTTTTTTATGTAAAAGGATATAATGCTCAGTGTTAGGATTTTTTGTGCAAGTATAATGATCTTGTTACGTACGGAGGAGACTGGATTTCGCAAGTAATCATTTGCCAATAAATACTTTTATAATATTAACAGTGAACAACATTGTTGAAATCTTGTTATTTTTAGGGTTAGGATAGTCAGAATGTAGGGGAAACACAAGCAGATCCAGGTTCCAAAACAAATATATATTATTTTGTTTTCTGGGCTAGGAGAGCATTCGTGAATCCACACCCTACCACCACATAACACACATCCACACCACACACTTCTGACACCATACACACACACCACCATCATAAATATCATTTAATACAATATCCATATAATAAAAAAAATAAAAAACAATATAGAAAAAAAATAAAATAAAAAATAATTATATAAAGAAAAAAATTTTAAAAAAAAAATAAGCTAAAACATAAGAAAATAATAACGAAGAGAAAAAAATATTATTAAGAGAACTTTTGTTTAAGGTTGTATTTTAATGATATTGAAGAAAACACAAGGAAAAATAGATTGTGGAAGGTAATCCTTAATAAATAAAATAGGAAAGGTTGAACTGCAAATAGGAAAGAGAATGTAGATGTTGCTGTCCGATGAGATGTTCGATAGATATTTTCAGGAGTATGTTCAATGAAAGCATTCTGCTCAAACAAAACCAACATCCGTTGGATTAAAGTATTTATTTTGGCAACAATCCACTCCACATACGAGCAGGTTTTTTAGATTTTTACTTGTTATTTAGGGAAAAGCTACATACCCTGTGTACACTATTAAAAGAATTACTGGTTTAGGAGAAGCAGCAGTTTATTCAATTGAGCCTCACGCTGGGACACTTCAATGTTTACACGAATCGGTTTTTTCACTAGTCGTCAATCATGTGATGAGCTTTAAAAAAGAAGATAACATAGTTAACTGACACTATTCCGCTTCAAAAAACAGTTACAAGAACCAAGACTGATAAATAGAATCAGTAGAAAAGT